GGCTTGGGTGACTAAACCCCCCCATTCCCCTCCGAGACGATCACACGCGTGCCCCCCCTCCTCCGCTGCTAACGAAGAACGAGTCAACTGCGATCGGTAACGGGTTTATTAACGGGGAACGAGGCCGAAACGGCCGCACCGCACAACCCCCACGTGTCTTCTGGGTCCTCCAGCGTTCGCGTCGGGCCCTGCGGAGGAGAAAGCAGCGGTGCCGGTGAGCTGAGCGGCCAGGCCCCACCGCAGCTCCCGGCGGAAGGAAGCGGCGTGTCCCGGCGTGTGAGGGTAGGACCGGCGGAGGAGGCCGCCGGCACCGAAGACTTCGCGCCGGTCGCTTCTCTGCCTCCGTAACATCACAGGCCCCGGCACGGGGCCGCCGAGGCCCGCCAAGAACGGGAGGTGAACCCAAAGCCCCCCAGACCCTCCCCACCTCCGCTCACCTCAGCGCGAAATGGCGGCTGCCGCACCTCGCACCGCCTTTTATACGCACTGCAGAGGGCGGGACTTCAAGGGAGCGCCACCAATCAGAGCGAAACCCGCGAAGAGAAGAGCCAATGGGAGGGAGAGGTGGGGAGGAGAGTTACCGGAAGTGGGGTCAAGCCGGAACCGGGTCCCAGCGCACGCGATGGGGATAGGGGGGAAGATCAACCGGCCGCGGACGGTACCGGCGGTCCCGGGACCGATAACGGGCTGGGGGGGGGGGGTGCTAAGGAGCCCGTATGGAGGAACATTAACCGTAACGGGGGGGGGGCTGATAGGGTAGAACTGGCTGAAGTGGGGGGGGGGGGTAGCTCCGTAGCGGTGCACTCCCGATAACGGTCCGTGTCCCCCATAGGAGCTCAAGAAGAAGCTGTTCAAGCGGCGCCGGGTGCTGGCGCGGGGGGCGCGGCAGCAGAAGCGGCGGTGAGTGCCCACCCCCCCCAGCCCCTTTCTGTGTGTTTGTGCCCCCCCCCCCCCCCCGGCCGTTACCGGGGCCTGATCGAACACCGGGGCGGGGGGGGGGGTGTCTCTGAGCTCAGGTTGCTCCCAAGAGGCAGCGACCCCGCGCAGCTCTGGGGGAAGCGGCGGCGGAAGGTGCTGAAGCGGCTGCGGGCGGCGGCCCGAGGGGGTGAGCACCGGGGATGGGGTCACCGGGAGAAGGTTTGGGGGGGGTGGTACAAGGGGACCGCTCCTGACCCGTGCTCCCGTCCCTGCAGTGCCCGTGTCCCCCCCACCCGCAGCCCCGGAGCAGGAGGGAGCCTGCGGGAAGCGGCCGGAGCCTGGGAGCGCCTCGGACGTGGAGATGGTGGAAGCGGCGGCGGTGGTGGTGGAGGGGGGTGACCCCCCCCAGCAATAAAGATGGCGGAGGCTCCGTCTGCCTGTCCCTGTGTCCGTCTGTCCTTAGGGGGGGACGGGGGGGGAGGAGCGGACCCGGTGCGGTTGAGGCCGGGCTGTGTGGGGGGGGGGGTGGTCGGAACTTGAGTGCGAGCGGAACCTTCGTGCGGAGCCCGGGGGGAAAACGGGGCTGGGCACACCGAGGCCCCGCCCTTGCTCCGCGCATGCGCGTTCCCGACGCCGCCGCAGCCATGTCGGCGCTGTGCGACCCCCCCGGCGCCGCCAGCCCCCCCCGGCCGCCCCCCAGGTACCGCCGGGACCCCCCCCCCTCCCCCGGGGCCTGCCCCATGGAACCCATCAGGGCCCCCCCAGCCCTGCCCCATAGGGACCCCTTTGGCCTCTCCGCAGCCCCCCGGGACCCTGCCTCATGGAACCCATCAGGCCCCCCCCCCAGCCCTGCCCCATAGGGACCCCTTTGGCCTCTCCGCAGCCCCACGGGACCCTGCCCCATGGAACCCAGCACGGACCCACCCCCCCCCCAAAGCCCTTCAGAGCCCCCCCGACCCCAGCCCCTCACTTCAGCCCCCCCCCCCCCCCATTTCTGCCCTTCACCCCCATGGACCCACCCCAGGCTCCGCTCCCAACACCACCTCCTCACCCCAGTTTCTACCCCATGGACCCCTCAGTGACCCCAACCCCGGACCCTCCCCACGGTCCCCTCCAAGCCCTTCACTCCCTATTGCACCCCTTGGGTCCCTTCCCCTCCAACCTCATCCCCCCCCCATCAACCCCATTCTCTCCCCCAGCACCCCCATTCTAATTCCTCCATCACCCCTATTCCCCTTCTATGGGGCTCCTGGGTGCCTCATTGTGTGTGTCCATGTGTCCATCCCCCCCCAACAGCGCTCAGGAGCTGGCGCAGGAGGTGAAGGCTTTCCTGAGCGGGGTGGACCCCGCGCACGGGACCAAGCTGTCGGCTCAGGACCACGCTCGCTGCGCACTGCTGCTGCTGCGGAGCCTTCCCCCCGCCCGCCACGCCGCCCTCCAGCACCTTCGCGGCCTCTTCGACGAGCAGGTCTGCGCCCACCTCCTGGCCCGCGACAGCCCCGGTGCTCCCGGCGCCGGCAACGCCGCCCTGGAGGAGGTGGTGCAGGAGGTGCAGCGCGTCCTGGCCGACTTCGTCCGCGCCAACCCCAAAGCTTGGGCCCCCGTGGTGTCAGCTTGGTCCATCGAGCTCATGGGCCAGCTGAGCAGTAAATACGCCGGCAGGCACGGGGTGCCCCACGCCGCCAGCCTCAACGAGCTCCTGCAGCTCTGGATGTCCTGCAAGGCCACGCGCACCCTCATGGACATCTACACCCAGTGCCTCTCGGCCATGATCGGCGGCTGCCCCGATGCCTGCGTGGACGCGCTCCTGGACACCTCGGTGCAGCACTCGCCCCACTTCGACTGGGTCGTGGCGCACATTGGCTCCTCCTTCCCCAACACCATCATCAGCCGCGTCCTCTCCTGCGGCCTCAAGGATTTCTGTGCCCACGGAGCCGCTCCCGGGGAGCTGCTCTTCCCCGGCGCCGGTGCCGACAAACGGGTGCCCAAGATCGCCTCCGTCGTAGGCATCTTGGGCCATTTGGCTTCGCGCCACTCGGGCAGCATCAAGCAGGAGCTGCTGAGGATGTTCCACGAGAGCCTAGGGCCCGCCAGGGACCAGCACCAAAAAGCCACCGTCCCATTCCTGCTCCAGCTGGCGGTCATGTCCCCGGCGCTGCTCGGCACCGTGTCGGCCGAGCTGGTGGATTCCCTCAAGCCGCCCGTCCTCAACCAGCTCCACCAGCACTTCGCCTCCCTGCCCCGCGAGGAGCTGGACAACACCGTGAGCATCGTGGTGCACCTCATCTGCCAGACCTCGGCCGGCGCCCACCGCATCCTGCAGTTCCTGGTGAACACGGCCATGCCGGCCTCCGTCATCACGGCGCCGGGGCCGCCGCTGCAGGACGGGGTGCGCGAGGCCTGCGACCGCGTCATCCAGCTCTTGCTGCTCAACCTCCAGAAGCTCGTTTACAACCGGGGCAGCCCCAACCCGGCCGAGGCCCCGCTCCCGCGCCCGGTGCCCTTCCTGGACGCGCTGCGGCCGCACGTACGGGAGCTCTGCGTGGAGACGCTGCGCCTGGAGCGGAAGCGTTTCCTGTGGCAGCACCAGCTCCTGGCGCTCTTGGCCGTGTACTCGGCGCCGCACTGCGCCACGGACGCGCTCTTCCACCTCCTGACGCTGGCCCGCACGCAGGACGAGTTGGCCTTGGCCACGCAGCTCCACGCCGTGCTCAGCTCCTGCCTCACCGACCTGCTCCCGGCCACCGTCAAGACCTGCGTGTGCCAGATCCACGCTGGGCGCCTGCCGGACGCGCAGGTGGCTCAGCTCTTCCGCAACCTGGCCTCTGTGGTGCAGGGGGACACCGGGGACGGGGGTCCGGCCATGGGGCCGCAGCTGGGCCCCGTCCTGGCACGGCACCTCCACGACCTGAGCCAGCTCCTGCTGCACCGCGACGCCGAGGTGGCCGAGGCCGCCTGCCTGCTGCTGTCGGTGCTGCCGCTGCCGCGCGCCCCGGCCCCGGCTCAGCTCCTGGGCACCGTGCGAGCCGCTTCCCACCAGTTCTTCCTGGTTCTCCGGCACCAAAACGCCGCCAACCTGGGCTGCAGCTCCCGGTTGCTGGCACGGCTCAGTGCCGTGTCCCCAGCGGCTGCCAAGGCCGTGCTGCAGCAGCTGGTGGAGGGAGCACTGCGCCGCGGCAACGCCGAGCTCTTCGGTGCCTCGCCGGAGAAACCCAGCCAAGGGGAGGAGAGCGGCAACGGCGGCGCCGGCGTTTCCTTGCTGGACACCAACCGGCGCTTCACGGCCGCCGTCAACTTCTCCGGCGGCGTCTGGTCCGTGTTCCACGCCGGGGTCATCGGCCGCGGGCTGAAGGCACCGCCGGGCCGGGGCGAGCGCCCACCGGAGGAGCTGGCCAACAACATCCAGACCTTCCTGAGCCTCCTCCTGCGGTGCAGCCGCGGCGCCCGGGCCGGGGAAGCGGGCTCCAGCGGGCTCCATCCCGAAGCCGCTAAAGCCGTGGCAGCCGCGCTGGTGGAGAACGTGTGTCCGGAGGCGTCGGGCGCGGAGCTGACGTGGCCGCCCGAGGAGCAAGCCCGCGGGACGGTGGAACGGGATCTCCGGATCTGCCGCCGCTTCCGGGATCACCCTTTGCTCTTCCCATTGCTGCGGCTGGTGGCGGCGGGCCGCCCGGCGCTGTGCTACTGCTCCGTGCTGCTCCGCGGGCTCCTGGCCAGCCTCATGGCGCATTGGGAAGCGTGTCGGGATAACGGGACCACGGGATCGCCCTGGCACCTGCAGGCTTCCTGCGCGCTGGTGGCTGCCATGGCCGAGGGCTCGCTGCTGCCGCCCGTGCTGGGGAACATGCACGAGCTCTTCCCGCACCTCGCACCCTTCGAGGTGCATCTCCTGCTGCTCAGCCTCTGGGATTACCTGCGGGAGAACAGCCCCCTCCCGCAGAAATTCACCTTCCAGCCCGAGCGCGGGCTCTTCCTGCGGGATTTCTCCCGGGATGGGGATGTAGGGAAGCACTTGGCTGTGCTGCACAGCGTCCTGCACAAGAACATCCACCGCCTGGGGCTCCTGGCCGGGCGGTTCTGCCCTTAAACCCCCCCTCCAAGGACACACACACACAAACAAACACACCCCCATCGGTTTGGGGGTTCAGCCCCATCCCTATTCCCATTCCCAAACCGTTTTCTGAATAAAAGGGAGCAGAAGTGGATGTGGAGTTTGGGGGGGTCGGGATGGTGCAGGGCCCCACCAAAGGCTTGTTTGGGAGGATCGAGAGGGATCGGGGGGGGGGGTAATGGGGTGCTCTGGGGGAGTTTAGGGGTGCTTATTTGGAGTTTGGGGGGGTCTCAGTGCTGCCTGAGGGATGCTCAGAGGGGTCCTAGGAGCCTCAGGGGGGTTAGGGGAGCTCCCAGGGCTGCTGGATCACGCTCAGGGCAGGTCTGGGGGTGCTTGGGGATAGTCTGGGGGATACCTGGGGGGGTCCCCAGGCTGCTGTGGGGGTCCTGGGCATACCTGGGGTGTTTGGAGGGGTCTGGGTGTGCTCGGGGGGGTCCCAAGGCTGCCTGAAGGACGCTATGGGGGGTCCTGGGGTGCTTGGGGGTGTCCTGAGAGGGTTTGAGGGTCCCTGGGGATGCTCAGGGGGTCCCTCATCCTCTCTCTGTCAATCACCCGCCTCCTCCGTCCCATTGGCTCTCACCGAGCCAATCACCGCCTGCTGCTCCCCTTAGCCCCGCCCTATTCTCTGCGCCTCTTCCACCTCCCGCTCATCTCCACAGCGCATGCGCACGGGTGGGCGGTGCCCCGCTGCTTAGCAACGGGCAGCTTGGCGGGGAGGCCGTGACCAATCGGAGCCAACCTCCGGGGCGGGGCTTAGCGCCACTTCCGGCCCGGCGGCGGCGTGAAGATGTTCTATCACGTAAGCGGCGGCAGGGTCACGTGTCCTACCGGGAGAGTCACGTGTCTTACCGGAGGTGGAGGGGGGGGTGGTCTCCAAGTAGGGTCCCGGTGCGTTGGTGCCGGTCCCGGTGCGTGCTCGGTCCCGGTGCGTTGGTGCCGGTCCCGGTGCGTTGATGCTGGTCCCGGTGCGTGCTCGGTCCCGGTGCGTTGATGCCGGGCCCGGTGCGTGCTCGGTCCCGGTGCGTTGGTGCCGGTCCCGGTGATTGGTGCCGGTCCCGGTGCGTTGATGTCGGTCCCGGTGCGTGCCCGGTCCCCAGATCTCGCTGGAGCACGAGATCCTGCTGCACCCGCGGTACTTCGGGCCCAACCTCCTCAACACCGTCAAGCAGAAGCTTTTCACTGAGGTGGAGGGGACCTGCACCGGCAAGTGCGTGATGGGGGGGGGGGGGGGAATGGGACGAACACCGGGGAACCCCTGAGATACCCCCCCCGAGATACCCCCCCCTTGCACCCCCAAACCCCCCTGAGCACACCCAGGACCCCCCCAGGCCTGTTCTAGACCCCCCCAGGCACCCCAGGACACCACTAAGGAGCCTCAAAGCACCCCTAGAACCCCCCAAACACCCCTAAGCCCCTCCAGGACCCCCCTGAGCACGCCCAGGACCTCCCAGGCCTCTTTGGAATCCCCCCAGGACACCACTAAGGCACCTCAAAGCACCCCTAGAACCCCCCAAAAACCCCCAGGACCCCCCATAGCCCTTCCAGGACCCCCCAGGCGTCTTTGGAATCCCCCCCAGGACACCACTAAGGAACCTCAAAGCACCCCTAGAACCCCCCAGACACCCCAGGGCACCCTGAAGACCCCCAAACACCACTAAGACCCCCCCAAAGGACCCCTAGAACCCCTTGAGACCCCACCAAGCCTACCCTGGAGCCTCCCAAACACCCTCAGGATGCCCCAAAACCCCTTTGGGATGCCCCTAAGGCACCCCAAAGCACCCATAGAGCCCTCCAAACCCCCTCAGAACACCCCAAACCCCCTTTGGGACACCCCTAAGGCACCCCAAAGCACCCCTAGAACCCCCCAGACAACCTCAGGACACCCCAACCCCCCTTTGGGATGCCCTGAAGACACCCCAAAGCACCCATAAAACCCCCCAGAGCACCCCTAGGACCCCCCAACCACCCCACCCCCCCCCTCCCCCATGGTGTCGTCCCCCCCACAGGTACGGCTTCGTCATCGCTGTCACCACCATTGACAACATCGGGGCCGGGGTGATCCAGCCGGGCCGTGGGTTCGTGCTCTACCCAGTCAAGTACAAAGCCATCGTGTTCCGGCCCTTTAAGGGTGAGGTGGTGGATGCTGTCGTCACCCAGGTCAACAAGGTGAGGGCTGGGGGATTGGGGGGGGTCATGGGGTGTCTCCAATGCTATGGGGCCGGTGACACCCCCTGATCCATCCCCCCACCCCCCCCCAGGTTGGGCTCTTCACGGAGATCGGCCCCATGTCCTGCTTCATCTCCCGCCATGTAAGGGGGGGGGGATGTGTCTGACCTTCCCCCCCTTGGGGTTCCTTCTGACCCCCCCAAACCTCTCCTGACTCCCCCTCATTTGGGTTCCCCCATCCCACCAGGGACCCCCCCCGACCCCCCCCCCATTTTTGCTCCTCCGGACCCCCCCAAACCTCTCCTGCCCTCCCCCCCATTTGGGCTCCCCCATCCCACCAGAGACCCCCCCCTGCCTCCTCCCATCCCCCTTGGGGCTCTCCCTGATCCCCCCCAAACCTCCCCACTGGGGCTCCCCATTCACCCCCCAAACCCTCCAGGGCTCCCCCACTTTGTAGTCCCCCCAGTTACTCTCCCCCCACCAACATGGGCCCCCCCCAAACCACTCTCTTGGGACACCCCAAGAACCCCTCAATATCCCAAGGACCCCCAATTCCTCGGCCTCTGCCCCAGGGACCCCCCTTTCCCCTCCAGGGTCCCCTTTCCTCCCCTGGGGGCCATTAAAGGCCTCTCCTAATCCCCCCCATGGGGACCCTTAGCCCCCCCATCTCCCTCTGGGGACCCCCATGGGCCCCCCCATTTACCCCCATGGGCCCTGGTCTCCTCTTGCCCCCCAAGTCCCACCCAAGCCCCCCCTAACCCCCTGTCCCCCCCCCAGTCCATCCCCTCAGAGATGGAGTTCGACCCCAATTCCAACCCCCCCTGCTACAAGACAGTGGATGAGGTGAGTCCGGGGGGTTCCAGGGGTCTCCCCACTCCCCCCCCACACCCAAATGTGGGTCCTGGTCTGGGGGGGGGGGTCTCAGTGCCCCTCCATAATGTTTCCCCCCCCCCCCCCCCCCCAGGACATTGTTATCCAGCAGGATGATGAGATCCGCCTGAAGATCGTGGGGACACGAGTGGATAAGAACGACATTGTCAGTGGGGGGGGGGCATTATGGGGGGGACACCTTTGGTGGGGGTCCCCAGGTCCATGGTGGGGGGTCTCAGATCTGGGGGGGGAGTTCCTATCCCCATAGGGTGAAGAAGAGGCCCCCAGCTCCATGGGGGTCAATGAGGGGAGGGGACCAGCTCCATGCTGAGGGGGGGGCAGTTTGATGGGGAGAGGGGTCAGGGGGGGTCCCAGCTCCTGGGAGCCTTCACCCCATGCTGGGGTTCACCATTGCCTTCCCCCCCTTTCCAGTTCGCCATTGGCTCCCTCATGGACGATTACCTGGGTGAGTCGGCGGGGGGGTGCTATAGGGAGCTATGGGAGGTTATGGGGGGGCTGTGGGAGGTTATGGGGGGGGTCTCCTCTCTCATTCCCTTTTCCTCCTCACAGGCCTCGTCAGCTGAGCACAAGGGATGGTTCTGCACCCGACCCCCTCAGTTGTGCCCCCCCCCCCCAAACCAGGGCTGTTGTTGGGGGCACCCCCGAGGCTGGGGGCGGTTCTGCCCTTCCAAGAGCCGCTATTCCCAATAAAAAACGTTGTTTTGATCTCCTGCATCAGCCTCTTTCCATGGGGAGGGAAGCGAGGTGGGGGGGGGGAACTTTTTGGGTGGTGGAACCCACATCAAGCGTTGCCGCTTTAAGGGGAGTCGCCGTTTTAAGGGGGATAGGATCCCCCCCTCCCCGCCGTATCCATGGCAACCTCCCGGCCTTTTCGCTTTACGTCTCGTCCGCCTCAAACGCCGCGCGGCAGTCGCGCTTACCAGCACTTCGTTGCTTTACGGCTGCGCGGTGCCACCTCCCTCCCTCTCTCCGCTCGCCAAGATGGCCGTGGCCGGGGTGAGTGCGGCGGCCCCGTGTCGCCATCCGCCTCCATCCGCCACCGTGCGGCGCTGCCGCCGGTACCGGGGGGCCCGCAGCGGTCGGGGGAGCCGAGTTGCGGCGGGTGCGGGGCGATGGAGCCGCGATGGAGCCGCGATGCTGCGCTCCGGGGCTGGGGATGGTGGGGGGCGGCCGGCGGGGAGCGGAGGCCGCGGGCCCGGTTCCCCCCCAGTGCGTGCCCGTCGCCGTTAACAGCCCCCCCCCACCTCCCCTTGCCCCTCATTGCCCTTGGTTGTCTCCTCTCCCCACCCCCCTGCAGCCGTCTCAAGTCACCTCAATGCCCTTAACGCCCCGTCCAGTCGCGACAGCCCCCACTCGGTCGTGACAGCCTCGCAGCCCCACAGCAGCGAGTTCTTCCCCTCGTAGCAGGCCTTAAACAGCTCTGCCATTGCTCATAGTGACACCCCCCCCACTCGAATAACCCGCCCCCCCCAAGTCGTGATCCCCACCCTATGTCGTGACCCTCTCTTAAGTCGTGACATGCCCCCCCCACCCCCGCAGACCCTCTACACCTACCCGGAGAACTGGCGAGCCTTCAAGGCGCTGATCGCGGCCCAGTACAGCGGCGCCAAGATCAGGGTTCTCTCCTCGCCCCCCCACTTCCACTTCGGGCAGACCAACAAGACCCCGGAGTTCCTCCGCAAGTTCCCAGTGGGGAAGGTGAGTCCGGGAGGGGAATAAACCTGGGAATGAGAGGGGATAAACCTGGGAATGGGGGGGGGGGATAAACCTGGGAATGGGGGGAGATAAACCTGGGAATGAGGGGGGATAAACGTGGGAATGGGGGGGATAAACCTGGTAATGGGGGGGGACAAACCTGGTAATGGGGGGGGACAAACCTGGGAATGTGGGGGGAATAAACCTGGGAATGAGGGGAGATAAACCTGGGAATGGGGGGGATAAATGTGGGAATGGGGGTGGGATAAACCTGGGAATGGGGGGGGGGGACACAAACATGGGAGTGGAGGGAGAGAAACCTGGGAATGGGGGGGAGAAACCTGGGAATGAGAGGAGATAAACCTGGGAATGGGAGAGGATAAACCTGGGAATGAGGGGGGATAAACCTGGGAATGGGGGGGGGAATAAACCCGGGAATGGGGGTGGACACAGATGGGAACATTTGGGTTCTTCCACCCCAGGTCCCGGCGTTTGAGGGTGACGATGGCTTCTGTGTGTTCGAGAGCAACGCCATCGCCTACTATGGTGAGTGGGGGGCTCCTTATGAGCTCTGCCCCCCCCCCAACAAGATCCCTCCCCAACGAGCCCTATTTCCCCCCTCCCCCGCCATCCTTATCCCCCTTCCATTCATTCCTAACTATCCCCAAAAGCTTCGTCCTCCCTGCAGTGAGGTCTGTCCCTGCCAACCATCTCTGTCCCCCCCCCACCATCCTTATCCCCTCCCCAAGGAGCTCTATTCCCCCCCCAGCCATCTCTGACCCCTTCTTCAACCATCTTTATCCCATCACAACCATCCTTATCCCACCAAGGGGCTCTGTCCCCCCCCCAAGGAGCTCTATTCCCCTCAGCCGTATATGTCCCCCCACCATCTTTATCCCCTCCCCAGGGAGCTCTAGTACCCCCGTACAGCCATTTCTATCCACCCCCCAAGGAGCTCTGTCTGCCCCCTGGCCATCTCTGTCCCCCCCCGACCATCCTTATCCCTCCCCTCAAGGAGCTCTGTCCCTCCCCCCAGCCATCATTATCCCCCCCTAAGGATCTCTGTCCCCCCCGCAGCCATCTGTATCCCCCCCCAGCCATCTTTATCCCCCCCCAACCATCCTTATTCCCCCCCCCCAAGGAGCTCTATCACTCCTTCCAACCATCTCTATCCCCACCCCAAGGAGTTCTATTCCCCCCTCGCTCCCCAGCCATCTTTATCCCCACCCAAGGAGCTCTGTCCCCCCCCCAGCCATCCCTATCCTACCCCAACCAAACTTACCCCCCCCAGGTGTACTCTATCTTCCCCAACCATCTCTATCCCCAGTCCCCCTCCGAACTCTCTGCTCCCCTCATTAGCTCTACTCCCCCTTAATGACTTTTAACCCCCCCCTTAATGAACTTCACCCCCCTTTTGTGCCCCCCCCGCAGTAAGCAATGAGGAGCTGCGTGGGGCCACCAAGGAGTCGGCCGCGCAGGTCGTGCAATGGGTGAACTTCGCCGACAGCGACATCGTGCCCCCAGCCAGCACCTGGGTCTTCCCCACGCTGGGCATCATGCACTACAACAAGCAGGTGAGGGGGTGGTGGGGGGGGGGCTCATTTTGGAGGTGCTAGACCCCCCCACCATGGTCAGGATCTTGGTACTGGGGGGGGGGGTGTGTGTCCCCAACTCATCACTGGTTTCACGTGGAGCTGCTGCTGTTGGATGAGGGGGATTATTTGTGCCCCCCCCTTCCCCTCCAGCTTGGGGGGTCTTCATCAGCCCCATATTTCATTTGAGGGACCCCCTGGGCTTCCAGCCTCATATTTTACCTGGGGGGGAGGGGGGGTCTCCCATGGATCTGAGTGCCATATATTACATGGGAGAGGAGGCTCCCATGGATCCCAGTTCTGTCATATAGGGAGGGGGTTCCATGGATCTCAGCTCTGTATTTTACATGGGGGGGGGGGGCACCCATTTATCCCAGCCCCATATTTTACATGGGGAGGGGATTTCATGGATGTGAGCTTCATATATCATATGGAGAAGGGGGCTTCTATGAGTCCCAACCCTATATTTTATCTGTGGAGAGGGGTCCCATGGATACTTTGCCTGTGGGATCATCCTGACTCCCTCAGGTGCTCCAGCACCAATCCCAATCCCGGCTGTTGATCCCTTTCCCCTTCATCCCAACAAAGCTCCCAGGGGATGGAGCCCAGGAGGTGGGGGGAGGGTCCTAGTTTGCAATGGGGGAATCCCAGTGCTGAGCATCCCATTTCTTTTCCTTATGGAGGCGACGGAGTTTGCCAAGGAGGAGGTGCGGCGGGTGCTGGGGGTGCTGGATTCCCATCTCCGCACCCAGACGTTCCTGGTGGGAGAGCGCGTGTCCTTGGCCGACATCACCGTGGTCTGCGCCCTGCTCTGGCTCTACAAGCAGGTCTGGGGGTGGAGAACAGGCATTGGGGGGGGGGGTATCCATGGTCCTGGGGGGTGTTTTCCATGCATGGATCCCTGTGGATGCAGGTGCTGGAGCCCGCGTTCCGGCAGCCCTTTGGGAACGTCAACCGATGGTTCGTGACGTGCCTGAACCAGCCCCAGTTCAAGGCAGTGCTGGGAGAGGTGCAGCTCTGTGAGAAGATGGCCCAGTTTGATGGTGAGGGGTGGGGGGACACACAGGGACCCTCCTTTGGGGGAGACACGGGGCCGTGACCCCCTCCCGGCTCCCATCCTTGGGCTCACACCCAGGCTTTGGGGGTGCTTTTGGTTGTCCCCAGCCAAGAAGTTCGCAGAGGCGCAGCCAAAGAAGGAGGCCCCCCGCAAGGAGAAGCCCCCCCGAGAGGAGAAGAGGAAGGAGGAGAAGAAGGAGGAGAAGAAACCAGAGCCTGAGGAGGAGCTGGATGAGTGCGAGCAGGCGCTGGCGGCCGAGCCCAAGGCCAAGGACCCCTTCGCCCACCTGCCCAAGAGGTGGCATTGGAAAGGGGGGGGTCACTGGGGGGGTGCTGAGGGTCCCAGAAGGGCTCTGAGCATCCTATGGGGGTGTCTTATGGTCCCAAGGGGGGGTCTGCTTGTCCCCAGTGGAGGCTTGAGGGGGTCTGGGTGTCCCATGGGGGTTTTCAGTGTCCCACTGGGGGTATGGATGTCTCCATGGGGGTTCCTGGCGTCTTCGGGTGTCCCCATGGGAAGGTCTTGAGTGTCCCTGGATGAGTCTGAGTGTTCCAAGGGGGGGAGGTCTTGGTGTCTCTGGGTGCATGGGGGGGTCTGGGTGTCCCCAGGGTGTGTCTGAGGGTCCCCTGGGTGTCTCTGGGGGGTGTCTGAGGTTCCCCCGTGCCCCCCACCCCGCAGCCCCTTCGTGCTGGACGAGTTCAAACGCAAGTATTCCAACGAGGACACGCTCTCGGTGGCACTGCCACACTTCTGGGAGCATTTCGACCCCCAGGGCTGGTCCCTCTGGTTCTGCCAGTACCGCTTCCCTGAGGAGCTGAGCCAGACCTTCATGAGCTGCAACCTCATCACCGGTGAGAGCTCCTCGTCCTCGTCTTCATCCTGCTCCTGCCCTCAGCATCCTCATCCTGCCCTCATTCTCCTCCTGCTTCTGCCCTCAGCATCCTCATCCTGCTGTCCTCATTCTCCTCCTGCTCCTGCTCTCAGCACCCTCATCCTGCTCTCCTCATTCTCATCCTGCTCCTGCTCTCAGCACCCTCATCCTGCTCTCCTCATTCTCATCCTGCTCCTGCTCTCAGCATCCTCATCCTGCTCCTGCTCTCAGCATTCTTATCCTGCTCCTGTCCTTAGCATCCTCATCCTGCTCTCCTCATCCTGCCCCTGCTCTCAGCACCCTCACCCTGCCCTCCTCGTTCTCATCCTGCTCCTGCCCTCAGCATTCTCATCCTCGTTCTGCCCTCCTCAGCTTCATCTTTGTCCTGCCCTCAGAATCCTCTTCCCTATCCTTTATACTCATCCTGCTCCTGCCCTCAGCATCCTCATCCTCATTCTGCCCTCATCCTGCCCTCAGCATCCTCATCCTTACC